CTTCTCTCGATGTGGAGGAACAGCGGCTCTACTCCAAGTTCCTCCAGGAACTTCGAGACAGAGTTTCTCATTCTATCTATAAAGGTAAGCCTTGCCACCCAGCAAACGAAACTTATTTTAACTGCTTGTATCTGAGATCTTGTCCTTTCAGTCATGACCCAAAGCTCATGACTATAGGTGAGAGTAGGAACGTAGGAACCTTTCAGCTTAGCTCCTTCTTTACCACAACGGACCGGTACATTGAGCGCAATACTGCTGCTGCTGCAACAATCAGCCTGTCAATCTCACATTCCATCCTTTCCTCACTTGTAAACAAAACCCCAAAATACTTGAAATTCTCCAACCTGGAGATGGCAAACCAACTGTTTCCGGCGGAGCACCATGGCCTCGTACTTGGAGTTGCAGATTCTCCTCCCGGCCGCGTCACATTAGGCAAGAAACCACCACAGTGCATGCTGAAGGTCCATGTTCGATGAAGCCAGCGGAACAACATCATCTGCGAATAACAGATGAAATCCTGTGGTCCCCAAACTGGACCCCCTCCAGCCCAAGGCTGCACTTTGAAATTCCTTACATAAAATTTATAAACAGACTTGGCGACAATGGGCAACCCTGCTGGAGTCCAACATGCACTGGAAACAAGTTTGACTTATTGGCGGCAATGTGAACCAAACTCCTACTCTGTTCATACAGGGGCCTCTGACCCCATATTCCCATAGCACCCTCCACAGAATGCCAAGAGGGACAAAGTTGAATGCCTTCTCCAAGTCCACAAAACACATGTGGACTGGTTGGGCATACTCCGTGAACCCTCGAGCACCCTGGTGAGGGTATAGAGCTGTTTTAGTGTGCCACGACCTAGACGAAAATTGCATTGTTCCTCATTGGATCCTAGGTTCAACCATCAACTGAATCTTTCTCTCCAGTACCCTGGCATAGACTTTCCCAGGGAGGCTGCTAAGTGTGATACTCCTATAGTTGCAGAAAATGGACGTTTTTAAAATTTCAGTATTGATTGGTACCGAATTCCAGTATTGTGACAACCCTAGTTTGAAGTACATCAACATGCTGAAATAAAAGTCTCAGCAACTTCCAGTACAGGCAGACTTTAAATATAACATACATGCACTATGGACAGCTAAGGGGTCGATTACACCAAGCGCACTTGGCACCAAGTTCTAAAAACGCGAGGCGCACAATAATGCCTGACGTTAGGTGTCCAAAAGACTGACGTAAATCGTTTTTCCTATCAGAGTTGATTTTTTTTAATTGCAAGTGAACAGCGTGTGATGGCAAAAACGCAGGTGGCAGCAGGAAGCGCAGGTGGTAACAACTTCTTTACAGAAGAACCCCATAATTTATTTTGTGCAAATGGTATTGTTTTACACGCACATGCATTTAAAAAAAAAAATCCAATATTAGATTTGGTTAAAATATGCACTTGCTTTCCAAATTAATCGAAATATATGTAAATGGCACATAATAGGGCTTGCGCTTCCTTTACAAATATTATTGGGAACATTACATATTCTATTCTAAAACATAAAACCACTTACAAAAGATAAAACCTATTCTAATACCATATATAAAACAAATAAATAAAAAATGTGGCTATTTATTAAGAAATGAAATTTAATATTATTTATTAGGAAATGAAAAAAATAGTATTTTAATAATAATATTAATAATGATGATGATAATGATTATTATTATTCAGTAGAAATTGTAGAATATTATAATTTTTTTTTTGCTGTTTTTTTAAGTCTACTTTTACAATTTGACACATGCAAACCAATGCAGACACGTTAACCAACAAGCCAATGTCGTATACAGTACAGATACTTAATAATTTCCCATTTTAAACCATTTTCCTAGTTGAATTCGCATCACTAGAAACTCTGAATTATTGTTTGCCAACTGATAACAATATCAAGCACTGCATTCAGCAAAAATCAACAACTTCAATATAGAAAACACCCATAATCGAAGCTGTATTTTCTCTTTGTGCCATGCATTTTGTGATAATGTCGGGGGAATGTAGATGTATCGGACTAAAATCACCTTGCTGACAACTTGCAGTGCTACATATTATTGCCGCTGAGAAAAGAACACACAACGCAACAGGCAACCTAATGCCAAATAGTGCTAATGCCAAAAATAGTTTTCTAAATGTTTATATCTTAAAACTGTTTTAAAATATGGAGGCAGTGTGCTGGGATGGATCCAACACAGAGTTTGTTCCCACAAAATGGCATTCCTAAAACTGAAATCTTTCCCGAGGCATCAGGGTCACGTTAGCGAACATACCTGAATATATGTACGTTCATCAACAGTTCTAGTAACTGTGAAAAGCCCCTACAATCATGATGTTGCTGCAAATTGCAATCAGGGGAGCAGATTTAACCAATAAGCAAGATAAGCGGCTGTTTAGGGCCCCAGGAAATCTCAGAGCCCCCAAATAAATAATTAGAAGTATAAAAAGTATACCTATAAATTATATATAACATCATTTTCTATCATTTTTGTATGATGAGTGTGTAAAAAAATTTAAGTTTAATGTATCCCCCACCCTCAATCATGGAGAAGTCCAGCAGTCAAATAAGGTAAAGATTTAGTTAAAAAAAAAAAAAAAAAGTTTAAACTTTTTAGTCGGGAATTGACTTTAAGACAACAAATCATTTAAAAACATTTTACAAGATGCTTTACATGCTGTTATTATTATTTTGCATTAAGACAAAATGTAGAAAAGGAGTGATCTAGTGACATAAGAAAAGAAAAAAAACAGCAAAATAAATCCATTAAAAATAAAATAAAGTACAAAAGGTACTTTAGAACTTTTGGGCCCCATGGCTGGAATTGCTTAGAGCCCCCAAATCACTAAATTCGCCCCTAATTGCAATTGTAAACATGTTTCTTTGGGATCTTTGCTGCCCAAATTTACAATTCCACTGCAAGTGCTTTTCAAAAATGTTTTTAGGTAGAATTCAAAATGACTTACTGCTGCATGTTGATGGACTAAAACCTAAATTATAAATACATTCTTTAAATAAAATGTAGTTTAAAGTAACACAAAATTAGTACTCAGACATGCTAGTGTTAAATGTCCTCTTAAAAAAGGAAGAAACAATGTTGAGCAATCATGCAGTGACTAAACTGAAGCCATATATGAAATAACAGCTTTCAAAATATGAAAAAGTCCAAAGTATATATGAGTCTTACAGAGTTTAACTTTTTTTGTGTGCAGTTTTACTCAAAAACAATCTTTTAGTGTTCCATACATTTTGGTCAGACCAGCAGTGGTGTAAAGTAACAAATTACAAACACTCAAACTACAGTAATTAAGTAGTTTTTCTCAGAAATTGTCATTTACCAAGTAGTTTTAAAATGTGTACTTTTACTTTCCCTTGAGTACATTTACAGTGCTGTATTGGTACTTTTACTTCACTACTTTCCTTCAAACTGCAGTCACTACACTACACTATTTTTTCCTGCCTATGGGGATTAGAAAAATCCGTCCTGTGATTCCTGTCCAATCAAATTGCACATAGAAAGTAAATCGCATCATACAGAACTACCAAAGACCAAAATGACCTTAAGCATCCAGCAGAAACAAATGTCAAATTGACATTGTACCCCAACGTCGTGGTGACGTTGCATCTTGTTTGGAACTGAAAATCGAGTTGACATCAAAACCCAACGTCAGGCCGATGTCAATGTCCAACAACCAAGCTAAAATCAACCAAATATTAATGTTACATTACAGCTTGACGTTGGGTGGACGTAACTACAATGACGTCTATCAGACATTGGTTTTGGTTGCCATACCTGACAAATAAATGTCAATATTTAATGTCAATATAATGTTGGTTAAAAATGTTGGCTCCACGTTATATTTTAGCCACCAACACAACCTAATATTAACCAAACATCAACCTCATTTGATGTCTATATTGAAAATCAAAATAACTTCGTCCTTAGATGCTGGCTAGCTATTGAATTATGGTCCCCTAACATCATGACCTAACTTAATATTAACATCTTACGATGTTGAGTGCCTGCTGAGAAATAACTTGATGCACTACAGAATGTTACGTTTACACACATCCACAAATTGCATGTAAACGCATCAGCTTTTTACAGTGCAATACTCGCTACTCACTTTTAACATTTAAAATGGCTGTTTTACTCATACGCTGAGTAATATTTACAACAGATACTTTTACTCTACTTGAACTACATTTTAGGCAAGTAATGGTACTTTTACTTGAGTATGATTTTCAGTACTCTTTCTCTCACTGCTGACCAGTATACTGTATAAATGTAGCTGCCCAGGTGTGCAGAACAAGAATGCTCGAACACAGACTAGAGGGAAAAAAGCAGCAGGATTCCCTCATGTTTGAGGAAAACACCTGCAGAATACAACGACAATTAAAACAAACTGCCTTCAAAACAACATTTTGAAACATGATGTTACGCGCCCGGCCACATACGCAGGTAGTTCACCATTTAAGCAACACTGTCAAAACCATAGGGTCGGTTAATTCAAACGGTTGAGTTAATTCAAGCGCTTATCTCGAGCACACAGACACTAACGACTGTTGTCAATACATAACACTACAGACAGCAGTGTTTATCGCTTCTCCTTTACACACAAAACCTGTCCGTTCACAGAAACGTCGTAGAATCCAAGCAGGGTTTTGACAGAAACGGATTTGTTTATTCTCTTTTCTTTTACGTCTGACAGGTCTTGCTCAAGGTTAGGAACACAACAGAACAGACGGCGATAAACACACCGTGATCAATGTGTAACACTCAGTTTGATCCGGTGTTTCGTAAATAATTAAGAAACACAAAGCGAGCATTTATTGCATTGCATTGCTCTTGTCTTTTTGGCCTAACTTCCTTTGGGGGAATCCCCACCGTTTTGAGACGCAAAGCACGGCGATTGAGGATCGCAGCTGTCAAAAGTGACAACAATCCGGCGGGCTGTCATGTCTTACCTTCTCTCGCCTTCAACAGAACAGTGTTGGCCACGATATTCTCGAGCTCCATGTTTCCTGGGTTGCAGGCAGGCACCGCAGGCCCAACCTCGTCGCCGGGTTGGCAGTGTATGTGTGTGTGTGTATGTGTCCTCCCCCGCTCCCCCCCACGGCGGAATATTATTAACCCTGAATGACTCTCCTCTCTGCCGTTTTGCTCCTCCGATTCCCCGCCCAGAAGCTTCGGGTTTACGTCGATGGCAGAGCCTACTATGGTAAAGCCTGCGCTTATGAATATTAATGAGACATGCTGACGTTGCTTGGTAACCAGCCCAGAGCGTCTCGCTTGAACGGTCTATAACGGTCCAGTCGTGGCTCATGAATATTTATAAAGCAAGTCTGACGTGTGCGAAGGGCTTCTCATTAATATGTATACTTATACATATTCCCTTCTCCTTTTAAATCAATTTCAGTTGGCTTTTTAAATACTAATTTGTTTTCGTATGAATTTAATATTAATTTATTTTATTTTTTGGAAACACTTTGTAAATGTTATTAATTTTGGTTCCGATTTAAATGCTTATTATTAATTTGTCAAATAGTCATCAAATAGTTGTCAATAAAATAGTTTGTAATTTCTCATTGAGTCTGTGCATTTACATGTGTTAATGTGTGTAAATGTATATTTATTCCGTTTTTAACTTGATTTCACTAATATTATTGTGATACAAAAGTTGTAATATTATTCATATGATTTATATACAATACCATTTGAAAAGTAATATTTTCTGTCTTTTAGTAGATAAATTATATGAGAGACTTGCTTTGTTTACCAATGGACCAGTGGATCTAATTGGATTTGCATTGTAAACATTAAATAAACTTCAAGAAAGTATTATTTTTTATTTCATATTTTAAGTTGTCAGTTATGATACTATGATACTTTTTTACAAAATTTTCCATAAAAATAGCAAAAAAAATGTTTGCAGATTCTGTCTGGCCCTAGTTGTAGGTATAGATTGTGGGGTTCAAGTGAAGTGTGCTGCTTGTTTGTTTGTTTGTTTGTTTGTTTAGCTGTACTGTATGTTTGTTATGATGTGTTGTAATTTGCTTGATTTGTGTATCTCTTAGGGACCCCCTCGAAAATAAGATGGTTCACCTCAAGGGGATCTCCCATTTAATACAATTCTAATTCAAATTTAAATATGAAAGCAAATAAACAGTTCGTCATCAGCTATGTGTTAATGTTGATAAGCACAAATTAAAAAAAAAACTGCCTTCGAATTAAGTTTGTTTGTGTGTGTCTGTACATAGCAAGTTGCAAACCACAACACCTTGGCAGATCCTAATATCCTGATAAACTAAACTCTAATAATAACAATAATGAGAATTATTGAAATGTTTTCATTATATATATATATATATATATATATATATATATATATATATATAATGACAACATTAAAATAAAAAAACAGTTACAGTTGAAGACAGATTTATTAGCCCCTTGAATTATTTGCCTCTCTGTTAAAGGAGAGAAGATTTTTTTTATCACATTTCTAACCATAATAGTTTTAATAACTCAGTTCTAATAACTGATTTATTTTATAATTAATAATATTTAGGATGATTTTATACAGCTTATACATTAGACATTAAAAGGCTTAACTGGGTTTATTTAGTTAAGGCAGGTTAGGGTAATTAGGCAAGTTATTGTATAACAATTTGTTCTGTTACATTTTTTTAAACTGCTTTTTTTCATGTAGAAATAAAACAAATAAGACTTTCTCTTGAAGAAAAAAATATTATCAGGCATACTGTGAAAATGTCCTTGCTCTGTTAAACATTATTTGGGAAATATTTAAAAAATAAAATAAAAATCAATGGGGAGCTAATAATTCTGACTTCAAATGGATTTGCGCGTTAATGTCACGTGATGTCACTCCATCCTTCGCCATAGTAGTTTCGTAATTTCCTACTTCAGTTTGTTACCGGTCGCAACCATGTAGAAGAATTGTACATAGAAGATTGCACGTGTTATATAAAGATACTGTGTATCAACATTCCCCATGGGATGTTTAATGTATGCTGTATTACATGTAAAAATGTAGAACAGACCGCGGTTTACTGAGGGGTATGTCAAGTCTTTCCTTTGATAATAAAAATAATCGGACTAACGTTTTTAAAAAGACATATGGCGTGCCACAGACCACGTGCACTTTTACATTTACTCACATAATCTATTAAAGACCAAGTGCACACGAAATGGAACTGCAAATAACAGTGTGTGTTTTCCAAAAATTGTTTTATATCTCCATCTAGAGGTAACACTTATACCCAGTAAATCAGAACCAACCTTATATACAAACATTTTAACAGCAGCAGCAATAATAATAATATTACTAATAATAACAATTAAATAACATCCTTTTTTTTCTGGCAGGCCAGACTTTGAATATATTTTTGAAAGTTAAATCATAACTGCTGCCTCGGTACTACACTGAATGTAACTGTTTAATGTGAAAGTTTAATGTAAATGTCTTAACAATTAGTGTTCTTAGTCCTACAACGTGTGTGTAAGAAATAAAAGTAAAAAATTAAGTAAATAAATAAAAATAATATTAAATACTATTGTTATTATTATTATTACTATTATTAGTAGTATTACTATTATTATTACTGTTATTATTATTATCATTATTATTATTATCATCAACATTATTATTATTATAGTTTAGTTTATCAGGATAGTGGGATCAGTCTGGTTTGTAACTTATATATACAGACCCACACAAACAAACAAACAAACCTAATTTAAAGGCTTTTTTTAAATTCTCACTTATCAACATAAACACATTGGGAACTAATGACAAATTGTTTATTTGTACTCTGCTTTCATATTCACAATATAAATATTAATAAGCCCTACACACACGTCAGAGTTACTTTATAAATATTCATGAGCTACCACCAGACCGATACAGACAGTTCAAGCAAGACGCTCTAGGGTGGACACCAAGCAAAACAGTTACAATAATAATAATAATAATTATTATTATTATTATTATTATTATTATTATTATTATTATTGTTAAATATTTTTATTATTATTAATGTTGATGTTGTTGTTGTTGTTGTTGTTGTTGTTGTTGTTGTTGTTGTTATTAAAAACATTTATTTTTTCTGGTAGGCCAGACTTTGAATATATTTTTAAAAGTTATATCATGACTGCTGCCTCGGTACTACACTGAATGTAACTGTTTAATGTAAAAGTTTATTGTAAAAGTCTTGAGAACTAATATTCTATTCGCCTGCAATGTGTGTGTGTAATAAATAAAAGTAAATAATTAAGCAAATAAAAAAACATAAATTTAACACTAATATTATTGTTATTATTATAGTCATTATTATTAATATTATTATTACTAATATTATTATTGTTTAGTTTTTCAGAATAGTGTGAACAGCATAGGTTTTGGTTTGCAACTTGATATGTATAGACACACAAACAAACAAACAAACCTAATTCAAAGGCTTTTTTTATTCTCACTTATCAACATAAACACATTGGGAACTAATGACAAACTGTTTATTTGTACTTTGCTTTCATATTCACTATATAAAGTTTAATAAGCCCTACACACGTCATAACACGTCATATTCATGATCTATATATGGGTGTATAAGCGAGACGCTCTAGGCTAGTTACCAAGCAAACCAGTTATTATTGTTACAATAATTATAATAATAATAATAATTATTATTATTATTAAATAGCATCCATTTTTTTCTGGCAGGACTGCGCCTCAGCTGCACTGAATGGAACTGTTTAATGTAAAAGTCTTGACAATAACTAGTGTTTAAGGTTCTATTCGCCTGCATTCGACTACTTGAGTGGGTTTTAACATAACTTCATTGTTTGGCAAATCAATATTGTTACATGCGTTAATGGTTCCATCGTTTGCAGACAGGTGGCGACATCCAAGCATGTCGATGTGTTTTGCTCTTGGAGAAGAAGTCGCAACATCCGCGTTCATCAAGCACGCGTGCGAGAGACTACAGACAGTATTGACTCGCTTGTCATACAGTAATGGGTAAAATCAAAAAATCTCGTAAACGCAATACATTTAACTACAACAAAAACAAAAAGAAGCTGAAGAAGAAGTTAAGAAGAAAGGAGAAACCGCACATTGAATGGTGAGTTGAAGAACATAACGTTAAATGCCAGCCATAACGTGCTCTGTTGCTATCCAAACAATTATTTATAACTTCTTACTAAGTATGTTTTTGTGAAAAAGTAAGTATAAACGGACAATATAAAACTTTACAATATGTAAATTATTATAATAAAAGCCACTTTAAGTGTTTAAAGGGAGATAACTGTTTAAAACCCTACTGTGTGCTTTAATATGGTTTTATTTTGTATACTGTAACATACTTTTATACTGTATATATAAAGTTCTTCTTCTGAAACTAATTTCTAAATGCATCTCCTCCTAGATAGAGGTAAAGTTGGGTATTCAGACATTCTGCTTGATAATCTAATTTCAGAAAAGTGTTGTTTGCATATTTTAAATCGAGAAATCATATTAGCAGCCAATGACTATCAAAGTACAAATTGTGGTAAAGTTGGTTTTGTATTCGCACATTCGTTCATTTAACTGTCTCTATATTGTTTATCCTGCTTATTTGAATATTTAATCAAAATTAGCACGCAAGTATGACTTTAAAAAACATCAACACTATCTAATAGACTGTTGGTGGTTGTACTGTGATAGTCATTCGCTGCTAATATGATATCCCAATTTTGAATTTGCAAAAAATACTTGAAGTTATGGAGCCATGTTCGAACTATGTTGTTGGCTAGATGGCACTGTACATCAGTTAATAACGTCTACACCTACCCCAAACCCAACCATCACAATTATAAACGAATATACCTTCTCTAAACCTAAACCCAACTATCTGAAGCTCCTCTACAGCCCTCGACACTTAAGCACTCATAACACCGGCCTTTCAGTCTTCATTAGTTTACAAAACACAGATGTTAAATCTTACTCATACCTTAGGGACAGTATAGCAGAATTTGGCGGTTTTAAAACCTTGACTTTTACAAACCATAGTATACCTTAAAAATGGTTATCGTCCCGTGCTTATTCGGTACATACTTTCAGTAATCATACTTTCTAATCTGGTTTATGTGAGATAAGCTGCTGGTCCCGAGCAGGTTTGTGCTATCAGAACTGTTGCTTGACAACAACTCTTGGCTGAGTTTTGAAGAACGAAGCTATTCTGGATTATATTAAATCATCAAAAACCAAATCGAGCTAATGGAGTAATCCATGTACGAAGAACAGACATCTGATGTCTTTTTTCTTGTTAACTTGCAATTTCATGCATTATTTATAGTAAGTCCGTTTTTATAGTTTATTACATGTCGGACTTTCAGGCAGTGAGCGAGCTTATGCAGCTGCTAAAGATGCTTTGAAGCAAGTAGTGAACAAATGCCAAATCCCTCTGTCAGAGATTAAACCTTTTACAAACACTTACATTTTAAACAAGTAGCAAAAGGAATGGGATGCATTAGAAAACAATAAATTACATGAAATCCAACCTGAAATTTCACACAGAACTTTAAGACATTTTAACAATCGATTTGATCAAGTAGTTTTTACCAGATGTCGTATTGGGCATACGAGAATAACACATGGTTTTTTGCTCCAAGGTGAAAACCCTACTCGGTGTTTGTGCTGCAAAACTCCTCTTACTATAATGGCTCGTTTCCACTGACTGGTACGGTTCGGGTCGGTACGGGTCACCTTTATCAGGCTTGCGTTTCCACTACCAAGGGTACCCTTTTGGTGGGCGTGGTTTATGGCAAAGTTTCAGTCGACGTCATTTTCGCTCGAGGAAATGTCTACAATAAAGCTGCACAGGTCGTTCACATATCATATGAAAAGCACTTCTCACAAAACAGATCCTTTACACACATAAATACTTGTGTATAAATGTTTATTACTAACTTTTCTATAAACAGGAGTTGATTATAACTGCAGATCAATGATGGTGCGAAATAGCCTACTGTAATGCCTATAATTATATAAATAAATAAATGAACATATATGAACACATACAGACCCTTACAGTCTCCGATATGTTACCAACTACAGAAGAACTACACAAAGCAGACATTTCGTCGTTAATTAGGTTCAAAACAACACAAAGTATAGCCTACAGTCAGAGTAAACCTCTCATCTGTGTCTGTAATCTTCAGCAGCACATGAAGCCTCTGTTAGACAGTCATTCCATTATTCCCAGTTCATATTAGTCCAAAAGGTGATAATAAAGATTAAAACAAGGCTGTTTGTTCACGTTTGCTGAAGAAATAACGTGCTCCTTAGCTTCGCCTTTTTTCCCACGCTCTTGGGAAAGGCTTGTCAGCTTCTCACAGGATCTGGTTTCCAAAAGCTTGTCAATAATCGAATGCATGTTATTATTATCAGATCAAGAAGTTTAGTATTTCAGATAGAGACGCGCTGCGAGCGCAAGAAAGAAAGCAAAACCACTCAGGCTTCAGACTGGCTCGTAAAAAACTACGCGGCACAGGGTGCATCTGCTCTTCTCCATGGCTTTGTGGCTGTTTATCAAGACAACGACAGGGTTTGTTTGAGCCCGGATTGACCATGGCTGCAAATGTATATATAATTCCACTGTAATCTCTCGCTGTGTATTTCAAACATGGCGGGTCCTTTGTTTACATTCTGGCTTGTTGAGTCTACGAATGACGTATCTCTGTAAACCAATAGCGTTCAGCTTCGCGTGTAGCTCCACCTTTTGGGACCCTTTCTGCAGTTTGGGACCCTTTCAAAAAGGTCCCGAAAAAGTGGTACGGTACGGTTTGGTTTGGTACGCCTTTTGACAGTGGAAACGGCCATAAAAGCGTACCAAACCGTATCGTACCACTCAGTGGAAACGGGCCATAAAACGTATTTTACTGGACTGTCCTGCTTTTACTGATTCCAGAAGACTTTTTTTATGAAATGAATTTAAGGACATTTTTAACAAAGTGAAACCAGAAAAGATTTTAGAATTTTTATCATGTATTAACACAAAAAACTTATTTAATTTGTTTTATTTTGTTTGTTGATTTTTAAATAGTTTATTTATTGTTAAAAGATTCCTGCCATGAAAATAGCCTTGGTTGCTGACATGGCATTAAATAAAAAATACATTACATTATATAGTTTATTATAACATGTTTTGTTTTTACAAGTCCTCAGATACGTAAAGCATGGGATGAGCACAAAACTGTAAAGCAAAATCTACAAGATATGGGGCTGGCACCTGGGACCAAGGGTATGCTTCCTATTAAACCAAAGAAGGTAAGTTTCAAATCTGTATGAATCAGTAATACAGTGGGTTTTTACTAATTATACCCTATTATAATAACCAGTTGTGTTTCATTGACTTTTCAGAACACAAAAGTTGAACCAATGGAGACAAATGTACTGAAACCATACGTCATTGAAGGTATGAATGCACATGTGTAATGTATGGTTTTGAAATCTAGTACACTACCTTGTCGTCCACCTTAGTTGTAAGAGCAACAAATATTAACTTGACTTCTAGTTGATCATTTGGAAAAGTGGCAGTAGGTCAATTTTTCTGATAAGTCATCTATTGAACTGCATCCCAATTATCACAAATACTGCAGATGACCTATTGGAACCCACATGGATCCAAGATTCTCACATAAAGTTTGGTGAAGCACAAATCATGATTTTGGGTTACATTCAGTATGAGGGTGTGCGACAGATCTGCAGGGTGGATGGCAACATCAACAGCCTGAGCTGTCAAGACATTTGTGCTGCCCATTACATTACAAATTACAGGAGAGGACAAATTCTTCAGCAGGATAGCATTCTTTCTCATACTTCAGCCTCCACATCAAAGCAAAAAAGGTCAAGATGCTCCAGGTTTGGTCAGCCAAGTTACCAGAAATAAACACTATTGAGCATGTCTGGGGTTAGATGGAGGAGGCATTTCAAATGAATCTAAAGAATCTTGATAAACTCTGGGAGTCATGCAAGAATGATTTCTTTGCCATTCCAGATGACTTTATAAATAAGTTATTTGAGTCATTGCAGAGATGTATGAATGCAGTCGTCCAAGCTCATGGGAGTCATTCACAATATTCATTCTTTTTCCACTGCAGCATGACTTTATATTCTATACTGTACATTATTTCTGTTAAGTGACAAGACTTTTGTCTAAGCTAAGTCAGACCTTACTGTCCAAATTAAATAGTTAATAATCAAGGCATGATCATCTTTTATTTTGGTAAAATAAGCGTAATCTAGAGGCCTTTGCCTTTCATATCAGCCACTTTTGATATTAAATGATCAACTAGAAGTCAAGTTATTATTTGTTTTTTCTAAAACTTGGATGGGCAACAAAACTCGTCAGGTAGTGTACTGAAATGTGTTTGTATTTTCATGATTATGTGTCTTTTAGAAATGGAGGCAGAGGCCAGTGTTCGTGGGAATGACCGAACCACATGCTCTACCGACATGATCGAATATGTTCAACACATGGTGAAGGAACACAATGAGGATTACAAGGTAAATAATAGTAATTAGGTCTGCAACTAAAAGCTGATTTATACTTCTGCAGCAAGCGCACGCATATGGTACGACGCAGCCTGCATGTGGACGCATAGCCGTCGCTGTGGCCTTCGGCGTCTCTGCCGCACGCCTCTCAAAAAAGTAACTGCACGTCACAGCAACGCATAGCGCAAGCTTTGTGATTGGTCGGCTTGGAAGCGCTGATGAGGGTGGGAAGGACCGAGAGCCGTGCGAGTCCGTTTGAGTGATTGTTTACAAGTGTCAATTCCCGTAAGGGAGCTCCGGATGGAAAGTTTTGTTTTGTTGTTACCTTATAGTTAAAGTTGTTGCACGTCCGCCGGTTCCTGCATCAGAATTTGTGAGTTTGAATCACCTGTACATTAGGGAAACGTTCAGAAAAACCTAAACACCAGTGAAGAAACTCTACAAAGAAGAACATTAACACCTCACTGCCTACTAGCATTTCAGAAGTGTTATTGCAGAGCAACAGAAACAGCGCCCAGAAGTATGAATACACAGCTACGCGCGTTGCATGCGCTGTGGGTCACGCTGATCATCACTTGACGCAGAAGTATGAACCAGGCAACGTTACATACTGTCCAAATGTGACTATTTACACGCATCAGCTGCTGACCGGAAGCTCTTACCATTTTGCTTGCGCATATACGCAAAGCATAATGGGTAATTTTGCTTTCTAAGAAAAAGGTCTATATAAGCTAAAAGATTTTCCTGAATTGAATCTTTGCGTAGGCAAATGGGATTCTTAATAGCTTTATGAAACCTTAGTAGTTTATGGACAGTCATAATGAGTTTGTTTATTGGTCTAATTATTGTTTCTTCTCTTTATAATAAATCTTGCACTCAAAGTAATTTTGTGCTTCATTTCCAGCCTTTTGAATTATGTTGCATAAATAAGGAGTTATCACAAGCTAAAATTGCTTGTTGCACTTATTAACAATTAATACCTAGTAAATATACTGATGTTACTGGTTAAAACCTAAAGTGGTGATGAGAACTCAAATATTTGGCCACAATTTCTAAATAAAGTGAGAAAAAGTATCACATATGAATAGAGATGCGTAGCGAAACTCTGCGCTTTATCGGTATTGATGCTAAATTCTAAAAGACATTATCGATAATCTCTGACTTTAACAGTTTTGCTATTTGGTACTAGAGAATTACTGCTGAATAAACATTACTTGCCTTAGCATAATTAACTGACCAAGCTTTTCTAATTTGTGATATTCGTCTGCACAGTTGGCAATCTCACATGAGAAATGTTCATGTTTTCGTCCAATAGTACAATGGCGAGCACGTCAAGTATAAAAGCCTTCACAGTTCTCGCCTATGTGCTCGCACTCAATAGAGGCTCGTGCTAAGCACACACATATCTCGCGACAGACTCGTAAGCTTGTGGAGTTAACCAAATGGGTTGTATTTCCCGTGTGTACAGCGACTATGCCCGTTGAAACAAACGCAAGTTGTTTTCTAGTATAAGCAGAAACGCAAGCAATCTGGCTAAGCATCTTTCAAAAGTGCATTAACTGCAGAAAGACGAATGAAAAGTGTTCAACTTGACTAGCTAAAGGTACATCATCCACATCATTATGCTAGCAGTCAAAAACACAAGGTCTCTTTAAATTAGTATAATATTAATAGTTTAATTAACACACATTCGTCATCCACATCGTTATGCTAGCAGTCAATAACATAAGGTCTCTTTAAATTCGTATAATATTAATAGCTTAATTAACACACATTCGGTTACAATGAAAACAGCATTTCTTTCTGCAGTAGCTTAAATAAATCTTAAACATTAAAAATGCTTTTACATCTTCTGTATTTACAAATATAACCTAATAATAAATTATTGTTATTAAAAAATGTATTTAAAAGCCACAGACCGAACTGATTTAACCGAAATCCCATTCAAAAACCCATTGACTTTGGAACCGGAACTGCTAAAATGCTAACTCGCTTCCAAGTTTTTGCTTATAAATTGACATCATTGTTCCTCCACTCTATGCTTCATTTTTCTGTTAAAACGTGCAACTTTTATTGTTATCTCAAGTGTTTGTTAAATGATGTACTTCAATCTAGTCTGATAGTAGTAGCTTTTTTGCCAAGTTCACTCACTATAAAATTTCTGGTTTAAGCTAATCAGATATTGTTTTGTCGTTTTTGCAGGCGATGGCAAGGGATGAGAAGAATTACTACCAGGACACACCGAAGCAGATCAAACGGAAAGTAGAATTATACAAACGCTGTCATCCTGAGCAATATGCTGCATTCATTGCTTCTCTGCAATCTCAGAAGTCTACATGATGCCACAGAAGAACTGGTCTTAATATGATGCCAGAATATCACCTTAGCATGTATCAAGTTTGCAACAAATGCTGTCTTAGGCCTTCAAGATGGGTGTGTACATTTTGTTTTCATGGCATTTTTTCGAGGATAGTTAACTTTTTAAAAGATCTTTTGAGCAACTTGTTGATGTATATATGAGCTTAGCGTTTGCAGTTTTATGTTGTGAAGTGAAATACAAACATATAAAAAACAAAACTGAAAATTACAATGTGTAATTGTTGTTTAATTCATACATTTAGTGTGTTTTGGCAAAAAAACAACAACAATAGAAACAACCTTCGTCAGTGCAAAATGAAGTCAAACAACAGCCAATAAGTGTCAGAATACCCTATTGAAAAACTAACTAAACCGAACAAAATAGACTGAGACAATAGCCCCTTTTACACATACAGAACTTTCCGGAAAATGACCGTCAATTTTCTGAAAAGGGATCATGTGTGAAAAGACCCTTTTTGAAAAGAAGGTTAATTTTTTCTGGCTGTTTTCAAGAAAAGAAGTTGTAACATTACCGATAATTTGCTGGAATGCTGCGCTGTGTGAACGCAGAAGAAAGATTGCCGGAAAGAGCGCGTTCACGATTAGAGCACGCTAACATGAGATGTCTACTCCAGCCAATTAGAACACCCAGATTCAATTTACATCCATACTGTTTATGAAAATAAAAGCCTTCGAATATTTTTCCAGACACATTTAGCTGCTAGATGTTAGATAACGTTTTTTTTTTGTTTTTTTGTATTCCTTCTTGATGCCAACTGTGAAGAAAATTACCGCTAAAATGCTTATGATAAACCGCTGTTTGTTTACCTTCAAGCTCCACTTCAGTTGCTTGACATGTGTGCACGTGAAATGCAGGAGTGCTCCGGTGAGCGCCAGCACACACATATTATATACATCTCTACATGCAAAGTGTTCCTCCATATGTTTTCATCGATGTTGTTCACAATACTTATCCATCTACAGAATTTGTAATGTGGTCAAATGTGTACACGTTTACAAATACAAGCGCTGCTGTTTATAGATCATTTCTGCTTAATGATGTCAGAATTTACCAGTATTTTTGGAACGGATGTGTGAATTGTCTTTTCCGGAAAAATTCTGGAAGTGGTTCCGGTAATTTTCCGGATATTTACCAGTATCACTGTGTGAAAGGGGCTATTGCATACTAAATAATGACTGTAAAAAATATGGATGACGTGACAGAGCCTTTTCCCATTGTACTCTTTGAAGTCAAAATGCCTCAAGACGAGCACAAACTGTCACAAAACACTGCTGAAATTGGGAGTCTGGGCATGTGTAGACTACCAGATGGAGCCAGAGGCAGAGGTGCGAAATCAAGCTTCCAACCAAACGCTTCAACCCCACCAACCCCACCCCCCCCCGAGCTTCTTTTTTTACTGCTCATACTGGCACTATAACAAAGGCTCGCTAAATAAATATAAGCACTTACATTTAAAAAAGCGTAATAATATACAATTCATTAAAAAACTGTCTGATTTAAGCTGAAATAATTGAATAAAAACAAAATATGTTGGACTGCAAATTAAACGATCTTTCATACACTCTAGCCTAAGTTACACTCAGCTATGAGCACAAAAAATATTTCTCTTTGGTTGTTGGTATTTATTATGTCCATGGGGTAGAAATATCACTTGTAAAATATGAACAACAACATATAAACAACACATATTTCTAGAAAGGTTTTTAATTTTATTCAGCAGTCAACAAGACCCAAAATATATACATCATAGATTCTATTTACCATGCGGGAAATATCATGTGTTTAAAAGATAAATACAGCAAGATTTTTAAATCAACAGGATATTTACACATCCATCCCTGCACTATATAAGAATTATCAATTAAACTATTATCAATTTGTACAATAATCTTATTAATACATCAACTGATGTCTATATGATATAGGCCTATTAGCTGCTGAGCATCGCTTGTATATTGTTTATCATTTTTTTGCCTCCGTTTACATTTGGTTTATTCGATGCCTTAAAATCTGGCAAAGAGGAATATACATTCATTTAAATGTTTAGTAGGGGTTTTCAAATAAAAATCCAACTGTAAATGTTGTATATAAATAATACATAACCTTTACAGCTCTATTTGTTATATAAGATTTGGTTTCTAGAACATGGATATTTTAGCAAATAACAGTAGATTAACTCGACAAAATGCCGAAACTCAAAATGTCAGAGACGTCCTTTAAATTAAGTTCAAATAACATTAGAGGAGCTCATTGTGGAGATCGGCTAACATTGATTTTGTCTTCCTAATTATTATTTCAGACCCATAAAGTGAGTTACTACTAGAGAGTGATCGCTTGTGTTCTCCGTCATAGCCAGGCGTGTATTAGCAAACTAATAATAAAGCCAGATAAAACCCTCACTTTACCGAATAAACAGTGATACATCAGATCCTGTAGCTCAGAGAGTATAGTTTACTGTGGAGCAACTCATTTAAAGGGTCACGAAACACCAAAACACATTTTTTAAAGCTGTTGACAGTCATATATGTGTCCCACACTGCTAAAAACACTATTAAGACACCTATATTTCACTAAAAAGTGTAAATTGGTTGTTTTTGCGTTACTAGTTCGTACTTCCGGTTTGAAACGAATTTTTGAAGCTGCGTCACGTTCATGACATAATAGTGTGTATTCTGGCGTGCAGACTGGGCGTCTGTGCCAGAGTGAGTCTTATTACGTCTTACAGTGTGATGCATTAATGCATGAGTAAGGCTTGGTTCAAACCAATCAGCGCGCTCTATTGTGCAACTTCATTAATATTCATTACTATCACCGTGTTTACAGGACAGAGACGCCACGTTGTATTGGCAAAACAAGCGTGAAGTGTTGCTTTTATAGTTTGCTGCAGTTAAGTTTCATTTTCTCTCTGTGAGAGCTCAGACTCACGTGTGGATTAACAGTGTACGCGACGCTCGACAACAATAACTTACATGTCTAAGGAGGAACATTGTTTACCTGAGAGCTGGATTCGCTTGTAGTCTTCTCTTAATAAGGACGCGGCTCTAGTTGCTGGTGATTGTCCTGTCTCTACAGATTTGGTAAGCGAGCGACCAGTGCTCTTTGTTTATTCAGTTTGTTCGTATCTAACAAACTATTGCACAGAGTGTAAACACGTTAACGTTAGCACCACAGCCAAACATTAACCTCGTGTAGGGTTTTTACCGCAGTTAGTGACTGGAATAACACACGCGGCTTTCTGACACTACCTGCCGTGTGCATCTAAGTTTCTGGGAAATGCGGAGGTTTTTTTTTCTCTCATTCGCCGTGCGGTATCAAACATTGCATGAAAAATACACGCTTAGAGCAGCTCCTTTGAATCAAATATCTCGTTTGTCGCGAGGGGCATGAATGAATTCCCTGAATGAAAGAGTCAAACTGCAGTTAAATTCCACCATTTAATAATTTGGCAAATAATTCGACTACAGATGTTCATGTAGGTTAAACACCATCACTTTCTACTGTGTGTGTGTGTGTGTGTGTGTGTGTGCGTGCGTGCGTGCGTGCGTGCGTGCGTGCGTTCTGTCTGTCTGTCTGTCTGTCTGTCTGTCTGTCTGTCTGTCTGTCTGTCTGTCTGTCTGTGTGGTGTGTGAATTTTGACTCTGAAACTCGCGCGTGCCCAAATAGACACTCCCACACCATCCCACTTTTCTTCCTCCGACACTCCCCCCTAAACAGCTGGACACGCCCACTTTTCTGACTTTTTCCAAAGTAGAGGTGTGAAAACACCCTGCTGAAACGAGGGGGTTTCATGGCCTTTTAACATGGTAAAATAACACAGAAATTGAATAATAACACCTCAAATCTCCTCCCAAAGCTCAGACGGTCTGCTTTTCTTTTTTTAAGCTTTAATTAGATCAGAAAAAGATGCATTACATGTTTACATTACATGTAGCAGTTTATTTTGTATGATATTAATTTGGATTTGGGAAAAAAGGATTTCTGTAGTGAAACGTAATATCACAGTAAACATGTATCCCAGTAATCTAATTTAAACGGCACCTCCAATATTTGATGTCATGACTTCAGTATTTATGCCAGTAATGTTGTTGTTGGAGTTGAGCCTGTGTTGAACTCAGTGTATTTCTTTAAAAAGAGCTCAGATTTAAATGTTTGCTCAGATGCTACAAGCTGAATAAAATAGGCATGACATTGTGTAGGGCATGGTTGTGGGTAAAAATAAGTCAGAATCCATCTGATGACAACTGTTATGTAGTGCTGTGTAGACTGTTTACAAACTGTTTAGTTATGGATTTGCTCAAATTACTTTAAAATTGTAATCAGTAATGTAATCTAGATTACTTATTGGATTACTTAGCTTGCTAAAATGTTTTTATTCACTCCAAAAATGACTACATGTTTAAATTAAGTTGAAACAAGACGATTCTTCAGCTTTTTTGGGACAACCTAATTGTTTTATGTTCTATCAACTTAAATTTGTACAAAATGTTATACATTAACTGAATTACTTCATGTTGTCCCAACACAAATAGATTGTTTTGAGCCCATTTTTTAGTGTTCAATATGGATCCAAATTCATCTCAAAAGAATTTGCAAGATAAACAGATTTATCCAACAGTTCTGTCTGGTTCTTGGGTCTGATTGGCTGATAGTCATGAAATATTCTGCAATAACAGCACTGGTCCAGCCTCTTAACCCCTTTACCCTGGTGTATTACTCCGCCCACATACAGCAACAACCAGAGGACACTTTTTATATACACTCAAAAATTTCTGCTGTTAGGCAACATAATGTACTTTTGAAGCTTTTTTAATCAAGAATGTAGTTGTTTAGATTTCAACTCTGCAGTTTATTTATTAGGATAGTGCCTATTTCAAAATATTTATAATTTCTGAGAGACGGTGCGTCGGCTGCCATTAGCCAAAGACCATTGACGTTGTCCATCCACAAGAAGGCGACTGGACCGCAAAATAAGCCCTTAGAAGATTAAAAAAGCCTAATTTCTAACTACTGCTCATCAAATCATTATTAAACTGGTAAGCATACTTGCCAACACTCCTGTTTCTCCCTCCCGGTAGTCTCCCCTTTTGTTATTTTTCCCGGAAATCTGCCGTAATTTCTCTCATTTTGTGGTACAGGCTGTAACACTCCTGGGTCAACAACTTTATTACAGCATCACAGCAGCCGCCCAAAACCCGGTGCATAATACA